GAGAGAAAGAGGGAGAGTAGGGGGAATGGGCTGAGGGGAGAGGGACAAGCAGACTCCGTGCTGACTGCTGAGCCAGACACAGGGCTCATTCCCACGACTCAGAGATCATGACTTCAGCCAAAACCAAGAATCCAATGCCCAACCACTCAACCAATTGAGCCACCCACGTGCCCCAAAGTTCAGGGTATCTTGAGATAGTCATGCTAAAGGTGCTTTAAAGAGTACTCAGCCTCCAGCTCTCCCGCTGAAGCACTGTCATTCCTGGTGCTGAGATGATGATGGTCTCCAACCATTTCCAGATCTCCTAAGAGTCCAAGTCTCAAGAGAGAACCTTTGACTAACAGATTCCATGTTCTATTCCTGTTCTCTAGTGGTTACTGGGGTAGGGACAAGGAAATTTAGGTTTATTTATCTTCTATGATGGGAGGGGATTACTTCTTAGACAAAAATTTAGACAATACATGAGGAGAGAATGAAGTTTTATTGGTTTAATGCCCCAATACAAGAAATAAAATTATCTGTTTATGGTACGATTGGAATCAGGAAGAGGTTGATCTAGGGGCAGGAGTTTAAGCATTAAATTTTAAGTTGTTTTTTTTTTTTAAAGATTTTATTTATTTATTTGAGAGAGAGAGAATGAAAGACAGAGAGCATGAGAGGGAGGAGGGTCAGAGGGAGAAGCAGACTCCCCGCCGAGCAGGGAGCCCGATGCGGGACTCGATCCCAGGACTCCAGGATCATGACCTGAGCTGAAGGCAGTCGCTTAACCAACTGAGCCACCCAGGCGCCCCTTAATTGTAAGTTTTAAAATACCTGCAGAGTAACATGAATGATTTTAGTGTTATCACAACCCTTCTCAGTCACAGTAGACTAATTGAGAGTTGATTAGTGAAAATTCATATGCAATTATAATAATGTCCATAATAATGTCAGGATAATTAACCATCACAGGTCTACTGCAAGTCCATTGCTATTTGTGGTTTTAGTATACCTTATTACCACCAGAACTTTTCTCACTGGCTGTAGAATAAACTCAATCATGATAGATCCTTAATTCTATATTCTTCCTTTAAGCCAATAAAAAACCATTTGAATTCTAAAGCACACATTTCCATATAAAGACTCAAAGACAAGATCATTATAAGAATTTCTAAAACATGTTAATTGACTGCATAAAAATGCATTATTAATGGGTTTTTTTTAAGTAAGATTTAACATTCTCTATCTTACATCCATATTCTATAGCTAACCTTTCCTGTTATTCTCCAAAATTCTCCATTCCCTTTAGTCCAGTATATACATTGTAATGCTCATATACCAAGAATATTGGACATCATGGACACCTTTTTCATCTGTTACTACTGATCAAAATAATACCCTGGTTCAAATAATACATATAGCATACACCACCCTAGTGATTCCTCACAATATTGTTCTTACTTTATTGTTTCCTTTTTGGCCGAGAATGCTCCATTTCATTCATGCTCATGGGTCCAATCCTACTTCTGTATCAAGGATACTATTCAAATGTCAACTCCGCAAAGCACTCCCTCATCTCTCCAACTCCTATTAATATTCTCTTCCTCTGAAGTCCCAAATCAATTGCACTAAACATAAAGAACAGTTAGCTCTTGGGACACATGTGTGGCTCAGTTGGTTAAGTGTCTGCCTTTGGTTCAGGTCATGATCTCAAGGTCCTGGGATCAAGCCCCACATCTGGCTCCCTGCTCAGTGGGGAGTCTGCTTCTCCCTCTGCCCCTTGCCCCATTCTCTCTCTCTCTCAAATAAATATAAATTTAAAAAAATCTTTAAAAAGTTAGCTCTATCTGGCTTCATTGAAATTTATGTAGATCCCTTGGCTCCTTTTTAGGACTAGACTTTCCTGGAGTATGGCATCCATATCTGATTGGTATCCCCTGACTCAAGAATTATGCTGTGAACATGGCATGTGGATGGGTAGGCCCTGGGTAGTTTGCCATGCTCCTTCTTTATTAGGCCTTGTGGATGACTGGCCACACGTGTCCACAGACTGGTTATCTTTTCTCTTTAAACAGCTTTGTTGAGATGGAATTTACATACCATAAAATTCACCCATTGTGGGTGTATAGTGTCCCTATGTAATTTTTAATACATTTGTAGAGCTGGGAAACCATCTTCACGATCCAGTTTTAGAACATTTCCATCATCCCTCACAGTTCCCTCCTGTCCATTTAGTTAACCTGACTCCCACCTCCAGTCCCAAGCAACCACTGATCTGTTTCATGTCTGTATAGATTTGCATTTTCTGGGAATTTCATATGAATGGAATTCTACAATACATAGTTTTTAGGGTCTGCTTTCTCTCAATTAGCATACTGTTTTTGAGGTTCATGAATGTTGTAGGAATAATCAGTAGCTTGTATCTTTTTTATTGCTTTATCCAATCAACAGCTGATAAGCATTTGGATTGTTTGCAAGTTTTGGTTATTATGAATAATAGCACTGTGACATTTGCATTCAAGTCTTTTGTGGACATATGTTTCATTTCTCTTGGGTAGATTCTTAACTATGGAATTGCTGGGTTGTATCGTAGTGTATGTTTAACTTTTTAAAATAGACCTAGGTTGTTAATAGATCTGTTAGGGGTTGAATTGCATCACCCAAAAAGACATGTTGAAGTCCTAACCCCTAGTACCTCAAAATGTATCCTTATTTGGAAATGAGGTCATTGCAGATGTAATTAGTCAAGGTGAGGTCATTCTGGAGTAGGACTGGCTCTTAATCCTCTATTAGTAGTGTCCTAATAAGAAGAGGATAGAAAAATTTTAAAAACTATTTAAAAAAAATAATCCAGTTGTTATTTGCTCATGGTGTTGTTGCTTGATGTCCTCTCTCCTTCAGGCCAGGTTTTGAAAGCTGAAAATGACTAATCTGCCTTCCTGCCAGCAGCAATCCTACATTTATGAACTGTATAAATGTTGTTACCACAACTTCTCTATTTGTATGCAAGGACCACATTTTAGGAACATTCATTTACGTCAAATGGCTTAATCCCAGGTATTGTTGCTCTCTTACAAACCTTTGATAAAATTAGAAAATTGTTCAGATTAGATGGGTCTTGAATATCATACACTATGTGCATAATGCTGCTTTTTCTCATGATTAAGATAATGAATACTTCGAGTGTTTAGGAATCATCCTACAAAGTAATGTAACAACTGCATAAATTTAATGTTAAAGGTCTTCTTCTGGCACTGATTCTTTGTTATTTGTTCTATTATTTGCTATTAAAGCCCTGCCTCAGTGAAAGGATGTGTGACTGCCTCATGTTAAAGATGTACACTTATTATCTAAGTGATGTTTGCCAATTTAAATAGGACTTGAGTATACAACATGCTGATTTCAATAGGAATTTTAAAAAGTTCTGGTCTACTGAATGAATCATATAGGACAAAAAAGGTCATTTCTTAAAAGGTAGACTTCTTCCGTCCTCTTAAATGTCTATGAAATTTATCACAGATAATATTTGAAATGGAATCTAATTGCCTAAGTATATTCTTAACCTCTATATATGACATTTTTGAGATTACTGTATTGAGACTTCTTGACTTGTGGCTCCCTTAAAATTACTTCTGTATTTGATGGATTAAGATAAGAACAAGAAAAATGATGCAATTATAGAAAGGTGCAAGGGGTGCGAGAGAATGGAAGATAGGATTAGTATTAATTGAATTGATGCATATGATCATGGATCAGAAGGATAAACGGAGACCTCTTCTTTCTGAAGAATTACCTTTTTTCCCCTTAGAAAAGTCTACAAAATACTTCTATAGGCAATCCATCTACTCCACATCCCCCTTCAGTTGACTTTCTAGGAATGCAGTTTCTCATTGTGGGCAAGCTTTCTGATCAGCATATTGTTTTCAGAAGAAAGAGGTAACTTGTAAGGCTCAAAGAATAACTTGCAATTTCCTAAGAATCTTTCCTGTCACTTGAAAATCTGTTATATTCCCCTGCCCCCTGTACATGAGCCAAATTTTCATCTAAATTCCAAACTCCAAAATAAACATTTCCGTGAAGAGTGCTTGCAATAAACAAAACAAAAGACAATCAAAACTCTTCCGATTTAGGCAGTTTCTAGGTAGCCGCGCTAAACACAGCTGCCACAACTTCCAATAAACAGAGAACAGGATACCACCACCTGCATTTGGAGCCCTCCTTGAAAAATGCGTGTCTTCCTCCCAGTTATGAGAAAATTCCATTCCAGCCAGTATGGTAGCTTCTGCATATTGCAGGAAATAAATAACAGCATTACTGCATTTAACTCAACCCGACTCCTACAACTAACCCTAAAACTCGTTCCACAGTAGAAGCAGAACCCCTAATTGAAAGAGCATCAAAGGATACTTCCATCGAAATACTTCACACCCGAAGCCTTTAAATGGGCAAACAGACTAATAAAGGCCGCCTCCAACCTAAGCTTCGGGGAGTGAGCAGCACGCCCGTGACCTTGTTTGGGTGGCCGCCTTTCTAACTGCGGGCTCGGCCAACCGGACGGCCGCTCCCCTGCCGTCTGCGGCTAAGCCGCGAAGGTGGGAGCTTCTGCCTCTCCCCCCAGCACTTCACAGCCAGTGTCCGACTCCGCCACGCAGAAGCAGGACCCCACGGCAGGGATGAGCCAGTTCCTCTGCCGCCACCGGGCCCACTCGCCGCCTGTCCCCACGTCCAGTCCCTGGAAAGCAGGTCGCGCCTTTGCTTCACGTGTGAGGAGGCGATCACCAGTTATTTATGGCAGGAAGGAATATTATCCTCGTGTCACTCGGAGCCGGGGGGAGGAGTCGAGGGTGCAAGGCCCCCACACGGCTGTCTGTGGTGAACCCCCACCTTCCGCGGGGCCCTCGTAACCTGCCCCGAGGAACCGCCATGGCACGCGGGGGGGGGGAGGAGGGGGAAGAGCGCGAGCGCGCAACTGAGCATGCGCGGAAGGAGACTGGCCCTCTTGCTTTACGTCCCCCTCCACCCCCCGCCCTGCCGGCCCTGCTGCGCGAGCCGCGTCGCCCTCGCCCTCTTCTCCCCGCCCCGCAGGCCCCGGGGACCAGGAGCGCTGGGTATCTGGCGCCCGTGCGAGATGACGCACATGCGCGCGAAGACGTGGGGACGCAGGCGGGCCGTAGAGAGCGTGAGTTTCCGCGTCTGTTTGGCACCCCGTGCGTCGTCTGTGCTGCGGGGTGTCTCTCGCCCTTTTCCCAGGGCCGCGGCGCGGGGCGCTGAGGGGATGCGGGGCGCCAGTCGGCACTTCCGGGGCCGGGCTGGGGGCCGGGCTGGGGGCGCGCTTCCGCACTCCGGGCACCCTGGTCAAGTCCGGGAGCCCGTGGGTGCTTCCCGCAGCGAGTCGCCCTGGGGTCCCATCGTCTGCACAGCGGCCTCTTCTTGGGGCTGACCGCCCCGGGAGCTACGTGCTGGGAGGATGGGGTTGGCTCTGTGGGAGTTTGAAAAGACTCCTTCGGAAAGCAGGAAGTTGAAAGTGACGTTGCGTCAGCAACAACTTGCAGTTTCAGGCGCCGGAGGGGTAACTTTGTTTCTATGAACAAGTGTGTGGCGAACACAATCCTCACTAGTGGTATTTCTCTTAATAGGGGATAGGAAGTCCGCATGTGGATTTAACCCTTTTTCTAGTCACACCTTAAAAAGCCTGTCCAAAAATGGATCACATGCTTCATTTTTCCAAACTGCATAAACTTTTGAAGACTCAGGATTGCTATTAGAAGGAATTTCTGCATTGTCATGATTCAGTCATCGAGTTGTGTAGGTCTTTTTGCAGGACACTCAGAGGCAGCTGGATTTTGCTGCTTTTAGTCTTAAAAGTCTAATGTCTCACATTTATGTCGCTTTTTTTTTTTTTTGCCAGCTCCAATAAAGTATAAATTTAAAGACTTATAATTTGCTGCTCACATGGCAGCTTGGGGAGGCAAGTAATTTTACAAAGAAGAATAGCAATACACTCCTAATCGTCCCAGGACTACTAGCATCAGCATCACCTGGGAACTTGTTGGAGATGCAAATTTTGGGGTCTTATCCCAGACTTAACCAGAAATCTATTTTAACAAGATTTGCAGTTAATCCACTGCACGTGGGTGCTAATGTGAATATTGCTGTCGTGATAAAGAGGAGAAGTCACAGAATGGAATGTGAAACCAGGTGAAGCCTTTCCTAGGTGTAAGACCTTGGGATCAGTTAAAGGTTTCTTCGTAGGGCTGTAAATATTCAGTGTGAAAAAGCAGGGAAGATAAGTTTAACACTAACACAAGTAAGAAAACACTCAAAGATGAGATGTTATTTAATAGCTTGTTAGAACTGCATAAAGTTAACTACTTAGATCGTGCTGAAAGGATTTTCATGGTGTTCAGTGTGAGTTGAAGTTCCTGAATATTATGACCATGGCTTAGAGGGCATTTTATTTATTTCTGGATTCTAATTATAGTCTATATAGTCAAGATTGTTGGATGCAGGATATTCTGTTGAAAGTTATAGCAGTATGTTCTAATACCAGTGCTATTGGGGCTGCAGTATTTTTTTTTTTTTTTACAGGTTGGTTGGTTGGTTGGTTTTTAAAATATGCCCCATGCCCAATGTGGGTCTTGAACTCACCACCGAAGATCAAGAGTTGCAGGCTCTACCGACTGAGCCAGCCAGGGCCCCTGGAACTGTAGTATTTTTTTTTTTTTTTTAAGATTTTATTTATTTATTTGACAGAGAGACAGCGAGAGAGGGAACACAAGCAGGGGGAGTGGGAGAGGGAGAAGCAGGCTTCCCGCGGAGCAGAGAGCCCGATGCGGGGCTCGATTCCAGGACCCTGGGATCATGACCTGAGCCAAAGGCATACGCTTAAGGACTGAGCCACCAGGCGCCCCTCCTGGAACTGTAGTATTTTTAAGAATGAGATAAGTAATTGTGTTAAAGAGTAGCTTTTAATTCTTTGGCCTTTTGGTCTTTTCAGCTTAATTATACCTTCTCTTGATCCAGAACTTGGTAAACAAGTTGGGTGGATAACCAGAGATAAGCCTTAGCCATAGAGCTGAGGGGTGTTAATGACTTGCATGCAGAAGCCTAGGCTGAAGATGTTTCTGCCCTTATCTTTCTTTCCCATGTGTCATGTAGATCCAGGAAGTGGAGGAGGCCTCATGGTAACTACTCCCTATACCCCTGTTTCCTGGAAGCATCACAGGAGCTAAGTTAGCTGTGCCCTTCACCTGCTGTTTTTTTTTTTGGATTGTCAGTTGCAGGGTTTACTTACAACTTTTCCCTTCCCTTTTCCCGGGGGTGGGGGGTGGGGGGGTGTATTTTGGATTTGAAGCAGTTGCCATAAAACCTAGACTCATTCAATTTTGAGAAGGATCAGTGCCACACCATGGCTAAACAACATGTCACTTTGATTAGAGCACACTGTTCCTGAGCCACACCATGGCTCTTAGATACTGTGGGTGAGAGTTTTCGGATAAACATGAGTCACTTTGGATATCTGCTTCTGTAATAAATTTGTTAATACTACCACTAAATTAACACTGTCCCATCATGAAACATTCATTTTTCAAAGGCCCTAAACAATTTTCTTGTTCTCTGTGTTAAAGAGGCAGATCTATGGCAGTGGTTTTGGTCAGACCTTGTTTTGAACCCTGCCTCTACTACTTACTGAGTTCGTTAAACAGATTAACATCCTCTCGGCCTTAATTCTCTCTTTTGTAGAGTAGGAGTCATGGTGTGTGCCTATCTCAGGACATTGAATTAACTGAAAGTGCAAAGCATGTCTACCATGTGAAGGCAGAGAGACCCAATAAATGCTGCAGTTGGACAGGGGGAAAAAAGGTAGTTATCACCCCAAACCTAACTTTACCTCATTCATTTCCTCATACTATTTTTATAAATGAGGTAATTTTGTTATTACCTAACTGCACTGCTTTTCTTTTTAAATGCTAAAATCCTGGAGAGTCAAAGCTTTCACGTTGAGAGAAAGCAAACACATGGAAAAAATTAAAACTCTAAAACCTGGTAGAAAAACACTATCTTCAGTTTTATCACTGTAACAGAACAAATTCCATAAAATTGTTTTGGGTGTTTATTGGAAGGTCAAGGTCAGGGGATGATTAATATTTAAGTATCTTCAGTTAGTTAACCAGGACAGTCCACTATAGGGGGGACACTATGTTCCAGGAGGTGGAACCTCACTGAATATATGCACTGTGCATTTATCTTCCATTAAAAAAAAAAAAATATCTCCTGTGTTTTTATGTATATATATTATATATATGAGCATGGAAAATACTTGAAAGGAGTCATACCAGGTCATAGTTTTGTTTACTTGGCAATGTATTATAATATGGAGATGGGGATAAATAATCTGTACATTTATGTAAAGTTACATGGGTGCATGTATATATAAACATCCTTTAAAAAAAAGATTTATTTATTTTAGAGAGAGAGAGAGCATAAGCAGGAGAGGGGAGAATCTCAAGCAGTCTCCATGCTGGGTGTGGAGCCTGATGCTGGGCTCCATCTCATGACCCTGAGATCACGACCTGAGCCAAAACCAAGAGTCGGATGCTCAACCGACTGTACCACCCAGGTGCCCCTAAACATTTTTTTTAAATTTATTTTTAAGATTTTGTTTATTTATTTGAGAGAGAAAGCACGAGCGACTGGGGGAGGGGCAGAGGGAGAGGGAGAGAGAATCCAGGAGACTCCATGCTGAGTAGGGAGCCCAACACAGCTGGATTTCACAATCAGGAGATCATGACCTGAACAGAACTCAAGAGTCGGACACTTAACTGACTGAGTCACCCATGCGCCCCTAAACATTCTTTTAAAAAAACATTTAAAAGATAAATAAAAGCCATTTAAAAGATAGAAATGATGCTTTAAGAAGATAGATTTCCTTTTATGCTTTAGGTCTAGTCACATAAGCAGTGGTCCTTAGATTTTTTTTTTTTTTTAAGCAGGGAACCCTTTTTAGCAGAATCTTACCCAAAAAGCTCAGGAGCTGAGAGGCTTTAAGAGAGGTTGAAGGGCACAGTTCTGCTTGCTGGTGCTCATCTTGAACTTTTTGCAGTGATACTCCAAGGCATGTCCCCAGAACCCTGGAGTCCAGGGCACTGGGTATGAAACTCTTCATCTGTGGGATAGAAATCGTCAAGAGACAGTTATATCTAAAAAGTCATGGCATTAAGAATTATTCTGAGTGGGATTCACAAACTTGTTCTGAAGACAGTTCCCAGGATTTTCGGCAATGTCAAATGTATGTGTAACTTCTCATGCAGAGGAGTGAGTGGTTATTTAAAAAAAAAAAAAAAAAGGAAAGGAAAAAATCCAGTCTTCAATATGACCCATTTTTTTACAAAAAAGAGGAGTTCTATGAATGCTTTTTGAGAAATCATCTCAGGGTTTTTTTTTGATCCCTCTAAGCCGTGACAGCTGTATCACTGTTAAAACTATTTAATATTTTAACTGGATATTGTTTAGCATTACAGATGACTCAAGGAAAAAGAAACAAGAGGTCAATGGAAATATATTACCTGTGTTTATTGTCCCTCTGTTTTTTTGTTGTATGAAAGCAGCTGGTTTGCAATTTGTATGGTAAAGGGTTTTTCTTAAAGAGTTAATTTTTAGTTAATAGTGAGCTTTCATAAGAAAAATAATCTCAAACGCTATTTGTAAGGTTGTTATTAATAGGGGTAGTAGTAATATCACATTTGTCTTTTTTCACACATTGAGCAGGGTTTCCTGGTGACAGCTGGAGTATGGGGGAGGGGGAGTCACTTTCAGTCAGCCTGCTGCTCGGTGCAACATCATGATGGCCATAGTTCAAAGCCTGTGGGATAATTTTGGCTGTATTCAGAGAATAAAATGTGTCAAATTTCTGGGAAGCAATGGATAGGGCAGAAGAGCCATATAAGAGCCCTTTGGGATCTAGATGATAGTCAACTAACAATGTGTGCGTTCAGGTTTGCTTGTTGGTGTTATTTTACCATCTAGTTTCTTGGACATTGTTACATGCACATCATAATTATAAAGCAATAAAGTCTAGTTCCATGGGGGGAAAGGCTCATTACTTTATGGAGAGGAAGGGAGATTGGAAAACAAACTTTGGGAGTGTGCTACGTGCTTTCACATAATGTGCTATTTCAT